CTTATCCACAACGAAGAATATGAATTTAGAGAGCAATTCTCTTCTCTATCGGTAATCATGATAACGCTCGCCAACTTCTCCCCAAAAAAAATAAATGAAACTATACAGAAATAGGCTAAAAGATAATTTCATTCCTAACAGATCAGTCTCAAATTATAGAATAGAGAAGGACTGGTGATTGCAATTAAGAGAACCACTAACGCTGCTAAGGCAGGCTTATTTCGGGACACTCGAGCTACAAACATGAAAGGAAACCTTGGAAGCAAGACTATCATTTGTATTAACAGTAAAGAAAATAACCACTGACCAGATGTCAGTCTTCAACTAAGAACTCACCAATTAAGTAGGTCAGTTCATGAGCATGCTGCATATTAAATAATTCATCAACGTTTTGTTGGGATAACCATCACATTGAGCCGTTTGCACATGAAGAACGTTTCTCGTTTGTGATGGCTGTCCAATTCGCAGGTTCATAAGCACAAATGCAACAAAGCGGCGATTGCTATATTGTACAAGAATCAATTCCCCTCCACAGCAAATCTGGCTCTACTTGTTCCTGCTGGTTATTTGCTGGCCTCGCGATAGACGGTTGCCGTGATTTGGCTCCCACATGAGAAACTCATGATCTGTAGTAAACGGTTTTCGTTCATCCAGTTTGTCTACAGGGTCTTTTCCATTTCTTTTCTTGTCAACCTCCAATCTCCACGTCTACCGAGGTCACTTTGTCTGGAAGAGAACAGAGTCATTCTTTACGCAGTTAAGTCTTTAACCTTCATTTTGCGCCATGTCACTACATGTTGATCAAAGGACTTTCTTGGTTCATCCTCGAAACTATCTGCATGCAGACAACGATACAACACTGATGTGACCAAGGCATGGTAGAGAGAGATTTGTGGATAGGGCTACTCTGCTTTCAACCCAAGTACTTCATGGGCTACCAAAAGCACTGGAAGCGAAGCGATCTTTCTATTTAATTCTGCTTGTTGATTGGACGGTATGATACCATCGGATGAACGATCCGAGATGTTTAAACTGATCGACTCCACCTATCGCCTTCATCACTCCTGTTCCATTAGTAGGTCAGCCGTGCCTGAGGGATTCTTTGTAACGGTGGGCTTCCAAACGATTG